TCTCGTTAGAACTAGATTATTTAATAATTTTAAAAAAATATTTATGCCCTTAATAATAATAAAGAAAAAAGAAGAATATGAGTCAAAATTAATTTAATTGCTTTGTTTTTTTTTTATAATTATAAATAATAAAAATAATAAGCAAATAGCTACTAAATTAACTATCATTATCATGATTGCTTTTGCTTCCGTGGTTGTTGCTGCCGTGATTGTTGACACCGTTAAAATTTCAACAACAGCCATAAAAAACAATCTTTTGTCATGTCTATCCAAATTATTACCATTTGGATCCGGTTCAGGTATATTACTATTATTATTATTATTATTGATAATGTTTTGGTGAACATGATAATGACCAGAATAAGTCTCGCTAGGAATGCTATGAACACTCGATTGTTCGTTAGAAGTAACATTATTTTGGTAGCTCATTGTGTTTTTTATTTTTGTTATATTAACATACGCGTATATAGAAGCAACAACTATCTCCGGATAAATAATAAGAAAATAATTTATTTAATCAAAACAGAAAAGAGAAAATGAAAATTAGGAAGAAAATAATTTATTTCAGAAAAGGAAAGAAAAAGAGAAAATGGGGAATGGGGAATGAAGAGAAGAGATGCGGGTTTTTTGTACATTTATTTAAACAATTGTGTAACCATACATACAAAATTACGTTGTAAATCACGTGATTGTGTTCATCAGGTGATATGTGTTTATTGTTTTCATAATAACTGGGAGTCAATTTTTTTCTTACACAAAAAAAAAAAATAATAATAACCATTTTTAATTTATTTACGCAAAAACTTTTTTGAATGGGAAAAATTATATTAATCTTTTTGTGTAATATAACAGGACCTTATTGGCACAGTCAGAGACATAAAATAGGACCGGGAAAACTCTATTGAATGTGACCGCCAACACTATGATTCGAAAGTACTTTAAAAAAAAAATGTGACCGCCTCACTATAGATTCGATTAATGGAAAATGGAAAAGGTCACCGCCTTTATATAATTCGAAGGAAAAAATG